AACCCCATCGTCGATGTGGGCTACCCCGAAGTATGTTGCGCTCTGACATCATAGTCAACCATTTGGAAAACCATCCATTTCATTTGTCTAGTTCTTCTTCTCAACACCGAATAATCCCAGATTCCTCGTGTTTACACAACCCATCGCATAGCACTCAGCGTTTTACATCAAGGCCAGAGATTCGGAAGCTATCGGATTTTGAAAGCCAAAATCCCCTTTTCACTTAGCCGCGTTCAATGTCCGCAAACTCTACCAGATCGGTCAACAAGCTGCCTTGCCTAGAAAACTCGAAATTTTCAATGTAGATGAATGTTATGTCTCCTAAAACACGCATACCAGACCCCACTTCTGCGTTTACCTCAGACAACCTCAAGCTCACGCTTCACCCTTCGTGTGTCAGGCGATTCGGCGTCCGAAGCTCGCGGTGTTGCTGGTGTCGGGATTGCGCTAAGTGCCGAGGCTGAGCGCTCGCTTCTTGACTGGATTCCAGTCAGTAGCCGGTTGTGCGCTGTACGCCTCAACGGTTCAGTTCAGTCAACAGCTGCAGAACGAAGCGTTGATGCTTATTCTTCGTTTCGGCGTAGGCACCGACCGATCGCAGTATACCTGAGATCAAGGATGAATTCTTAAAGGATCTTTCTCAACTACTCCAAAGTGCTCGGTCAACGGACGTTGTAGTAGTCGCCGGAAACTTCAATGCTCAAGTGGGATCCCTGGCCGAATCAGAAAGGCTTCTTGGTGGACCACATGCAATCCCAGCCAACCGGACGAACAACGGAGATTGCCTACTTCAACTCTGCACGGACCACGGATTGTTCCTATCAAGCACGAACTTTTCGCACAAGAAACGCCATTGACTTACATGGAAGCCGCCAACTTCTTCACCGCGCTGGACCCAAATCGACCACATCGCTATCAGTTACCGCTTGAGGGGATCGATTCAAGACTGCTGCTCTTACTGGTCAACAGCTATGGATACAGACCACGCCTTGTTACGAGCCAAATTTTCCTTACGCCTGGCAAACAACCGCAAAAAGGCCACCGACAACGGATACCCACGATACAGTGTCAGCGATTTATGCAAATCGGCATTCGAAGCATAGCTCTCCGATCGCCTGTCAGTTCAACCACCAGCCGAAGGACTCAATGAACACTGGAAACAAATCAAGAAAGTCATGCAGATACTGATAAAAGCAACGTCAGACCCTGCATCAAGCTCAAAACACAAACGATGGATTTCGTCTACCTCGGTTGCCCTGCTGGACGCCCGCAGAGCCCTCCCTCCCGATGCCACATACGACACAGCGTGCAAATCCCTTAAAAGCCAGCTCATCAAGAGTCTGAGGAATGACCGCGAGAAGTGGTGGGTAGAAAAGTGCAAAGAGATGGAGAAGGCTGCGGCTATTGGTAATAATCGTAACCTTTTCCATCTAATTAGGAATACGGGCCCTAGGAAAATAGGCGT